ACGGCAAGTTGTTAATTAAGTGCAGAGTGACTAGTTCTCATGAGCCAGTGCTTATTTATTTGAGAGCTAAGGCGTGCAAGGGGTTTCAAAGCTTTTGCTGACTTTGCTGACTACTCGTCAACTTCAAGGCTCAGGTTATGAACTGGCAGGTCGCTGTAGCTTTGCATCTGTTGGCTACGTCCAAATGCCGTCACTAAGCACACTTTCAGTCTGCCTGGGATCTCATGCTGTGAGAACTTCTGGTACATCTCCGCGATGTTCTCAAATTCATCCACATACGTGAACATCCACGCCGAATCGAGCTTTCCTTGTACCACCAGATCCATCAAGAACGGATAATACTGCACCTGGTAAGCTATCAATCTAAATCAGAAGAGAAAAGAACCCAGCCTACCTTTTGCGGCCACGTTTGACCCCCACGCACTGTAAGTGCTTTCTGCATCAACGGCCCAATTGGGAAGTCATGCATCGTGAAGAAGAAATCCCCAACCAATGCCATATTGCCACCTTTACGGGTTGCCTTGATTATCGCCGATAGTGTATCACTGCTATCCTTCTCCTGTCCATTTGCCCGTGTCGACGGATACTCGGTTTTCGGCGAACTACGGAACCCACTAGCCTCAATAGATCGATCAAGGCCTTGCTCCTGAATCGACAAAATGTACTCGGCCACATCGGGATGAGCATCCACATTAATAGGAGTCATGCCGAAGTCTTCGGCAATTCGCAGTCTTTGCGCATCCTTATCCATGGCATAGATCTTCTTGGCCCCACGGAGCTTCGCCAGTCGCTGCGTAGCAAGGCCAATCGGCCCACAACCCCACACACCCACCACATCGCCTTCCTGCACCTCAGCCAACTCCAGCGCATGCCAAGCGGTGGTCATGACATTTGTCAGACCAAGTAATTTCCGCGCATCGATATGCTCCGGCGCCCTGACGCACGATAAGTCTGCATGCGGCACACGGCAGTACTCCGCCTGGTCACCGGGATACCCACCACACAGCCGACTGTAGCCCAGCTTCCCGCCGAGTCGGTGTCCGTACGCGGCTTCCACTTCCTTGGATGGGTTTGTGTTGTCGCAGAGCGAATACTTCTGTCGCTGGCAATAGTCGCAGGTGCCGCATGAGATGACGGGCAGGATGATGACCCGGTCACCGGCTTTGAGGGTTTTGACATTCGGCCCGACTTCTTCCACAATGCCGATGGCTTCTTGGCCGAGAATGTCGCCTTTTTCCATTGCGTCTTTGAGCTCGCCCTCGTATAGGTGGATGTCTGAGCCGGAGATCGTGCAGTGGGTGATTTGGACAATGGCGTCGGCAGGGTCTGTGATTTTTGGCTTGGGTACGATTCCCACTTCGACTTCTCGTGTGCCCATCCACTGCGCTGCCTTCATCACTCTGGTGGGGTGCGGCGTGTATGCCGTGCTGCGTTACATTAGAGTGAGGCGGGCTGTGTGCGGTGGCAACACTTACCTGGGCATTACGGCCGCCATGGTTGGGAGTAGCTGTCGATCACCGATGTAAAAAGAACAGTGAGAATGAGTATTGAAGCGAAGTGTCGATTAAACGTTGATGCTGCCGATGTGTGAGTGTTTGCTCCAACTGTTGAAGATCGAGACATGCCACGATTGAAGCAATGGCAAAATAATGTCAAGATTATGCTAGTAACCGAGTGGCCACAAAGCCATAGAATTGCCATCGGATTTATCGGACCTATAGTTTTTCAGACCTCCTATCCAAGCCGGAACTCAAGGCCGGCTACCATCACCCATACAGGCAAACACCAGCATAGAGTCAATTTGTAAACTTGACAATTTATGGAAACATATACACAACGTTCAGTGCTCCAATATCAGAGGTTCTAGTAGGTGTGTCTGATCTCGACTGGGTTCAATCACAATTTTGAAATGAAGATTGCATTTCGTGTTCAGCGTTGGTTCAATATCATACATACTCTGGTGGAAACAATGTACAGGGTTCTTTCGATGTTGGCAGAGGTAAAAAAGCAATGAATCGCATACATGGGAAACAATGGGATATCTTAAAAAATCAAAGAATTCATCTTAATCGGACCGCTGAGACCAGGGCTTGCGCATTTTGATTGACTGGCCATTGGGCATTATGTCGCCTGACTCACTGTCACTTTGGCTATCATCGTCACTGGTGGAGTCAGATTCAGATTCAGACTCAGACTCACCAGAGCTGGGCACTTCGTACACATCACCGCGGGGAGCTGGGGCAGATTTGGGCTCAGGTCGCAGCTTAACAGCCAGTTCCTGTTTTTTACTGCTCAGCAAGTCTTTAAGGGTTATATTTGGCTTTCTTGTGACAGGTTCCCGCGGGGTGGACTTTTGTGCCTCCAGCCTTTGTTCGCAGACTTGTAGATTTTCACGCAAGGCTTCCAGTCTGAGGCGGAGCGGCTTTCGCTTAGCGTATTCTAATCTGGAGTTGGCCAATTTCTGCAAGAGATTCTGCATCTCGGTCAAAACAATCGTGAGCTGGGGATCATAGTTTTCCCGAAGCTTGTGCTCGATTTCGGCCCTCTCTGCGATTTCCTTGTTCCTTATTGCTTTCTCATCCTCCTTGGCCTTCGCCTTTGCCTTCTTTTCGATTTCAACTTGCTGGGTTAAATAATCGATATCAAATCCGGGTGGGTAGACCACCTGACTACTGGACGGTGCTGCCTGAGCATGTTCGGAAGAAGATTTGTATGTTTTGTTATTGGCGATTGCCTTGGGTGTGGCTTTGCTAGATTTGGAGGTCGAAGGTGTTCCCTGGGTAGATTTGACAGCGTTGGGCGTCTGCTGAGCGGGCTTGCCCTTGGACGTAGTATTTCGTGGGGTCGCGCTCAAAGGAATCTCCTGGGTAGGGCTGATGGTGGGGACGGATTTGATGATCGCAGCGTTGCGCCGAGTGGAGCGTGGAGCGGGGTCCAAGCTAGAAGCAAGACTCTCCCCCTCGGCGAAAGATACGGATCGCCTCTCTGTTATTGGGGAATCCTTGGCACGGATGGCTGATTGCAGCGTTCTTGTTCTTTCAATTGCTGGAGTCTGTTTGTTAACAGAAGCACTAGTAGGCGCATCGGCAACAGTCCCGATGCTACTTGGGAAAAGCGGCCCACCAAAAGAGTTCTGGGTGGATGCTACGTCAGATTCTTGCGAAAAATCCAACCTGACAGGTTGCTTGCTAGGAGGGCTCTGTGTGATTCCCAGGCCAATTCCAGATAGAAGAGGTTTGAGGGGCGCTTCGTTCTCCTCTCGAACACTAGCTTTTCGAGCTGGGCTCGAGAAAGAAGGCGCACGGATCCGCCTGCGCATTGGGCTCGTTTGAGCGGCTGGCGACTTCGACATGCAATGTCGGGCCTGTTCAGAGCGCACAATGACCGCAGGCACTGATCGTGGAGGAGTAGATGGGACCCGGGTGGAGGGATGGGTCTGTTCTTGTCGAGCTTCTTTGACCGACACGGGCTCTTCGGAGGCCTGCTTTCGCTTGCGTGATTGAGTCTCAAGATTTGTACCGTTTGTTTTCAACATCGACGGATCCGACTGCTCTGAGAATTGGGAGCTCCTAGTTACTCTAGGCTCTTCCATCTGTACATCGCCCTCTAGATCAATCACATCCCCAGTGATCGGAATTGAGTGATCAATTCGAGGCGTGATGGGCTCATCCTTGGGTCTATCCTCTCCGCTGGCATCAGAGTCCGATTCAGACTCGGAATCAGACTCGGAATCAGACTCAGACTCAGACTCAGACTCAGACTCAGACTCAGACTCGACCTGATCTTGCATTTCTCTTTGGTCCTGTTGGGCATTCTTCTTTACCCCTTCTACCCTGTAGTCCTCACTGTCGCTTTCCTCTTCGCGCGATGACTCACTGGAGATCCCGATCACCGTTTCCGCTTGCTTTTTCTGCAGGGGTCGAGATACAATCTGAGCCACTGCCGCAAGATGTCCTTGCCCTTTGACTCCATTTGGCATGCCCGGCTTAGATGGAATTTTCACGATACGTTGCGAAGCAGACTCTGATTCCATGTCACTGGAGCTCGCAGTAGCCTCCTCGGTAGGTTGCATCTGTTGGTGGGGAGTGTTATGTTTGAGCGCAGATGATATAGGTGGGGATTTAGCATCGTCGGGCATTTGCGTAATTGTCCGCTTGGCTGTACTACTCGCAATGGGTGGTAGCTTTGTGAGCTTTTGCAACCTAGGCTGCAGTTGGGATGAGCTGGCAACTACAAATGCAGTTGTAGGTTGGGATCTGGCAATAGATGCTTGTCGCTCGGCTGGTGATGGAGACTCGCCGAGCTCCTCGCTTTCGTGCCTGGGAGGTGGTGTGCCAGCAATGGTAGGGCCTGTAGACTTTGCAGGAGAGGAAGTGGTGACGAGATTATGGACTTCAACCGAAGAAAGAGGTAAATCGCGATGGCAGTGCTCAACTGGTGACTCCTGAGCTGAGAGATGAGGGTCATTATTGGTATGCTGAGACGATTCAGGCGAATGTTCCCAATGAACATGAGATTGAGAGAGAGATCGAGAGTGAGTACGCAGCGATGGAACGCTGCTCTCCTCATCTTCTTCCTGAATAGCCGGGAATTGGGTCTCCATGGCTTCCTTTTTATCCTTCATGGCACGCTTTCGTTCATAAGCAACGATAGCAGCATCCCAATCCTGATCGACAGACGGGAATCGCTCGGGGGCAGCTACGGTAGGCTTCTGAATAACGCGAACGGATCCACGTTGGTCAAGGCCATCAGTGCGGGCTTTTCCATAGTCAACCCAGACATCAGCAACAGTCAGATCGGGATAAAGATCGAGTTCCTCCTTCGTGTCATCGAGGATTTTCTTGATCGAAAGCGGTCTATCAACCAACATAGTTAGCAATTGAAGTTTGAGACACCGGATGAGCTTCTCATCCATCAAGCTTATGAACACTTACTCCAGTTCTGGGTGAAGCTTTGCCCAGTGTTCTTGGATCATACCCGCAAGCCCACCAAGCGAAACCTCCTCGGGGCGTTCAAGGACAAGCAAGAAGACACCAGGTTTCTTTAGTGTCGATGAGACTCCAGATCCCTGGCTAGAATCATCGTTGGCAGGCTTTCGCGCGCCAAGGAAGGTCCTGCCCCAGCTGGAGCTCGAGCTCGAGCTCAGCTGCTCCCGCGGGAAGACTTTAATTGAAAGTCGGAGGAACACCATTGCATAAAGTGATACAATAAACAGCAGATGCGCGTATGACTGAGAGTTTTGATTGGAACAATGGTGCGTGAGGTCGGGAAGTTGTGGTGACGGTAGTTGCTAGTAAAAGCCGGTAGAGCTAGCGTGGAACGGCAATTAATGGTAGGAAGGAAATTGGGAAAGATGAATTATCAGACACACATGACCTCTCAAAGAGACAAGGTGCCAAACACCAAACGAGATGGTGCAGGGTGAGTGGGTGAGTGCGCAAGAGAGAAAAAGGTGCGGAGAGAAATCAGAACGCGGAAGAAACTGGCGCGAAGTAATCACGTCGGCGATCCACTTTATCTGTCTATGAGACATATTACTGATTTACTTGACAAGGACAAGAAAATGATGAACGCTTTTTTTTCGCCTTTTGGTAGATTGATATCAACAAAGTTAAGGGTTCCTGAGAGGTTCCATACAAAACAGATGCTATATAATAAACAATATACATGGGATGGATTTTCAGATAATGCCCTCTATGTATATATTTTCCAAAGAGACATCGTTAGATAAAGTTCTATTCCGGAGGCACAAAATACCTCCGGAAGCGATCAATGCGAGTCAAACCCAGCTCAACAACGACTGCATGACAGCTCATCAACAAGCTCGGGAACCTGTATGTCCAGAAATTGAGATACCCTTCGGGCAAGCCACCAATATAATCCTTCAGATGATCAGGCATATCATTGTAGTGATTGCGCTTGTTGCGGAGAGCCCTCAAGAGATCCAGCATCCGGGACCCAGTGTACTTGCGCTGCTTGCCGAGATTGTCTTTAAAGTCTCGCGGCAATGAGCGCAGGAAATCCATTTCGGGACCCATTACCCGCTCAGCCACTGATTCCAGACAAAGTAGGGAGTCCGATGGAGGGTCGCGGGGCTCGAATTCAAAGTGGTCAGATACATCACAGAGGAACGTGAGACGGTCTGACGGGGGCCAGAAGAACGGATGCATCAACACAGCGCTTGCGTCGGGACTACAAGTTCATGTCAGTAAATTGAGTGTGTTGATGGGAAGTAGGATGCTTACCGTTGGCGAGGGTCTAAAGACAGCATTGAGCGGATCAAATCATCCGCCTCGAAAGCATAGTCGCCTAGGCGGTTTAATTCCTCCAAATCAAATTGGCCCTTGACGATGTTTGCCTCGCGCATGAATTTGCCATTCTTGTCGAATGGGTGACCGCCACGGGTCAAGACGTAGTAGAACACGCAACCCAATGAGAAGATATCGATGGCCCTAGTGGCGCGGCGGTTTGTCTGTGGGTCTACCACAGCAGGCTCCGAGGACTCGGTGTGCTGGGATGCGAGAGATATAGGACCGTCATCATCCACCAGAAGTTCTGGGGCACGCCATCCGGAAGTTCCAGCAGCGTGGGCAGTGGTCGCCCTGAATGAGCTTTGGTTGTCTTCAAGTTTCTTGCACAGGCCGAAATCCGAGATGAGGAGCCGCAATGACCGCGAAACAGTCCGGCCACGCGGCATAGCCACGAGAATGTTCTGCGGCTTCAGATCACGATGGACGATCTTCAAAGAGTGCAAGTAACGGACACCCTGAGTGATCTGGCGTAGCACGTCGGGCAAGTCTAAGCCAGTTTGAATTAGTTCCGGGTAGCTGGCGGGACGCTCAATCACATCCTGCAGAGATGCTGGACAAAGCTCGAGGCCAATATACAAGAACCCGGTGGCTTGCTCGCGGCAAAAGTATCGGATCACATTATGGTGGTCATCACTTTCCTGCAATAGGCCCACCTCATGGGATGCAATGTCATAGAATTCCATCAACATACGCTTGACCGCTACGTCTCTTCCATCGAACGAACCACGGTAAACCACGGTGCCATGACTACCATGTCCAAGCACAACATCAGTGAAAACCTGAAGCCGGCCGATGCGAACAACGCCATCCATCTCAATAATCTCATTTGAAACAGTCCGGACCGTTTGAGCATCGTTCTCAAGTCGAGACTTGGGGGCTAGACTGTTGGCCTGCTCCACGACCTGGTCGACCCCCTCAGGGCTATCACCCTCACTACCAGGCTTCTTGCGACGGCGGTGTGACTTCCCTCCTCTAGAACCCCGAGCGCGGGGCTTTTTCTTTGGCTTTCCAGCCTCGTTGGAGTCCTCGTCATCAGGGCCGCGCGACGGCTCACGAATCTGTACACGCGGGGTGGAGTCTAGAGTGTGGTTTGGCGACGCGCGCGGGGTTGATGCACCCTCAGGTGACGCATCGTCCAAGTCTAAACTCACCGTGACGCTAGGAACTTGTTGAGTTGGAGTAGATGAACGCTTGACATCCGGGGCACCACCGACAACAGGGGTGGAAGGGGTCGATAGAGAGGGCTTGTCACTTGAGTTGATGATGTTCTTTATGTCCAATTTCTGCTTGGCCAAATCGCGAAGGTGGTGCGAGTTGAAGTAGATGAACGTGCAGATGAACATTAAAATCAACGTCACAACAATATCCAAAGCGTTGTCCCAGCTCTTGCGAATGATGGCGCTATTTCGCAATGCGGGGGGCAAAGCAAGCTCGGACGGACTGCGAAAGACATCTCGCGGTGTATCATTTGAAAGTTCAGATAAAGATGACCCGGCGATTTTAGGAATGTGTGGACGGATGATCCGAGGGCCAGTGAGAGAGTGAACACCGGCCAACGCATTCCGTTGTTGACGCGCAGTAAGACTCATAAGGGCTTGTCCCCGACGGAAGAAGTCTTTGTCGTAGCATTGAGCCATTGGAGCGCGGCCTGTGGCCAGGGGATAGGTTTCCTCTGAAAAGGCATACCAGCCCCCTGCCTCAGTGCAATCGATGAATACACGCATGTCCCTTTCATCGCCAAGGGATCCATAATCGGGATCCGGTGGCTGAAGAGGCTGTGAGAGCAGGACTAGCGGAGTCGAGGCATTGGGTGCATCTTTGTTGGCAGGACGAATCACATCAAAGACTCGTGCCACAGGAGATGAAAAGCGCTGGGTGTAGCGAGGCCGATCCATGCGCGAGTGATCGAATCCCAACACAACGCCATCATGCATGCTGTAAATGTGGCTTTCATCCATCGTCCTGTAGTACTGGCTCTGTAGGTCCATATCACGGTTGTTCGGTGCCCACTCGGAGTATTTCAACGTGCAAATTGGATCTCCCGTCTCTGTGTTTTGTATGGCGATGGCATATTCAACTCGACCAAGAATTAAAGTTCCAGATGTCGACTCGCACTCATCGGAGTCCGAATCTTCTCCGTTCACCTTCCGACATTCCGGTGCAGCGGTAATCGGACCACGGGAACTAAACACCCGCAAAATGCTGCCAGTCCGGGCGTCAACGGTGTATAGTGTAGTTTCTTTCCGAGCAGTATAGGTCACAGCAGGCTCGGTACCAGAATAGGGGGTTTCGTCAACAAGTTGCTTCACAGTTAAGCCGAGCTTTTGCAAGCCGGCATCGGGGGCGGGGCTGTAGATATAAAGGCTGCCATCTTGGCTCGGTTCGACAATCCATAAAAAGTCGTCTTCGGGCTCGGTATCGTCAAAACTGGAACGATTCGCTCGGTGGTAGATGCTTTCGACCAGAGGACTGCTCGGGACCTCCAGGGCCCAACGAGCAGATCCGGTCTTGCGATCACGGGCGTGAATGGTTCCGTCGACGGTCGCCAGTAGCACAAAATCCTCAACCTCCCAGTCCTGCAAGGACCGCGCGTGAAGCTGCGAAGCCAAGCCCGCAGCGGTGCTGCTGGCTTGGACAGGAGGGGCTCGAACGGCGCGGCCGGAGCCTGCCAGAGCCAGAGTAGCAAGGGCGCTCGCATCGTTGGGTTTCACGATGGGTGGTACGACCAAATTGGCCGCATTTTGTCTTGATGACTCTTGTGCTAGAGGCACAGAGATACGAGAGATGGGGTCATGAGCATCTGGTTGCTGCAGCGGAGCAACCAAAGCTGGGAGAAGGAGGAGTGCGACACTGGCGGGAAGTGTCGAACGGAAGCCCGGCAGCCGCCACCGCATCGTGGAGCTGTCAGCACAAAGATTGAAGGGTAGGTGGACGATCGAGGGAGCGAATGGGGTAGCGGAAGGCGTCGCATAGGCCAACGTTGTATGAACAAAGGTTTTAACGGTTCAAGTGAAAGTGTGGAGCGAGTCGAGAATCCGGGTAGCGGATCATTCCCAACCGTACAAATACTCCGAATGCAATGATGGCAAATTCACCTGTAGTCTAATAATGATGTACGATGAAGAAATGATGAGAATGTCAGATTGCAGTGGTGAAGAGATGAAAGGAGAGAGATGAGCACATGTGCAGGCAGATAAATTTTGTGTAATTTACATGTACATTACAGACAGTGGCCAGTTTTTGACGCCTTCACCGCTGTAACGGTTCAGTATGGTAATTTAGAACACTAAATGCAGCGTAGCCTAGAACAACAAGAACATTCGAGAGTGTCTTACCCTGTTGTCCCCTGATCCCCTTAATCTGCATTGGTGTCTGCGCACTCCACATTAGAGTACATAATAAACAACTTGGTGTGTGCTTATAGACATGTAACTCGCCTATGGACGTGCCTCTCTATATTTCATACACTTGGACTATTTTTTTTATCACACCGTGATGGATTCAATATTTTAAACGAGTCTTTCACAGTGGATCTTTCAATGCTGATCATGAATAGTTAACCCCCAGCCTTTCAGGAGTGGGTCAGACACCAGCGCCAGGGGTCAACACCAATCAAGGGCGGGCAAGACAACACACGACGTTGAAAGGTCTCGAAGAAAAAAAAATCCGAATCCATTATCACAAATTTTTAAAAAGAAAGGAACTATGTAAAACCAAGGCATCACATCCAACGCCACAACTCCGTCCTCGTGCAGTGCACACCGGAGGTGTCAGTGAAAGGAAGGGGGAAAAGAAGAGTCAAATGGAAACACACGAAAAATCAAGATAGATAGATACAGGTGTAAAACGATGTTGCCACAGAAGCATGTGGAGCGAAAGGAAGTATAAAACAAAAAAGAATCACTGAGGATTTCACGAAAGATAAAAGAGGTAGATTTGAAGTGGCAGATGACTTTAACCGCCGCGGATCATCCAAGTCACAGCAATAGCCCAACCGCTGACGAAGATGACGGTCAAGACGCCTGCACCTGCACGGTCACCGGTACCGATGGTATTCAATACAGGGACATTATTGTCCGACGTATTGGTGCCGGCATTCGGGTTACTCTTCGAGGTTCCACCCGATGATACCGTCAGTGGCGCCTTGTTTTTGAAAGGAATCAGATTGGCAGACAAAACACCCAGCACAGCCATCTGTTGCTCCAGACCTTTGGTGCCATCCCAAGTGGCTTGCTTGTACCAGCGAATACCACAGTGCGAGCCATCATCACCACCCGAACATTGCTTTGCAGCGGCCTGGGCCGAGGTTTTCAGCTGGGGGAAGATCAGGTCGTAGGTACCGGGGACGATAGTAGTCAACATTCCAAGCCAGTTGGTGAAATAAGCCTTGAAGGTGATCTGGTTGCGATCGCAGTTACCGCTGGCTTCGCAGGTGATGTCCGATAGAATTTGGCCGCCGGCTCCATCAAATCCTGTGGTCGGGTAGAACTGTTGGGAGGTCTTGATGAGACCCTCAATACCCTCCTTCCATTTCGTTTCAGTGCCATTAGTCTAGTCTGGAGTTAGTATCAACCACCCATCGGCAACGGATCAAAAGGACTCACGTAGTTGTGCATGTAGGCAGCCCCACTGATATAGGTGGCGTAGTTGTAGGTCCATTGGAAATCGCCATGATCCGTGCACTGCGTGCCGCAGGTGGTGGTGTCGGCGATGTTCCAGTTCTTCTGCTTGAGCAGCGGGGTCGTAGCGCTCCAATCCCAAATTCGCTCGGCCCAGTCGGCATATGTCTTGTTTCCGGTATAGAGGGCGAGGCGGGCCGAAAGTTGGAATAGTCCTCCGTTCGAAATCGCATTCTTCGTCAGATAGCCGTCCTGGTACGGCCAAATCTGCCAGCGCATGCCACCGTGGCAGCTGCTGGTATCCCAGCGGGGGTACTGGGTGTTGAAGACACCCTGTGCGAGGGATACCCAGGAGGGTTCGCCCTCTCTTTCGGGGTAGTTGAATTCCGCGGCGGTAATAGCAGCAAGACCCCAAAAGACTTGATCGTCATTGCCCAGGTACTGACTGTAGTTGCTGGGGAAGAAGTCGTCATCGCCCTTCTGGAAGTACATTCCTTCCTGAACGGCATCATTGAACTGGGTATCACCGGTCACAAACCAGTACAGAATAAGGGTCATGAACATGGAACCGCCCTCCCACCAAGTGCCATCAAATTTACCCGGGATGTCCTTGGACTCGCGAGAGTCGTAGTAGTTCATCATGGTCGTAGCGACCGTTTTAGCCGCGCTTTTCAGGGAGTCTGAAAGACGCACTGAATTAGCTAACGTATGCGATCGAGAGGTGGGGGGACGTACTCTCGTCATCAATGTTCAACTCGATAGCGAGGACACCCTGGACGGCGAACGCACCGCCCAGCAGAGTGGCCAGCCACTTGGACAGAATCATGTGTAGAATCTTAAACGAGCGTAAGGGCCAGCGGCATAAGAAAGTTGAAGAAAGGAATTAGAAGTTTGGGGAGAAGATAAAAAGAATAAGAGGGTGGCTAAGAAAGAGATGACGGGGGTCTGGGGGTAATCGGCAACTGTCCCGGGGTTACAGTCCCTGGTACGGAGTACAGTGGGCTGCCTCCGTCAAAGAATGTTGAGCTAATCTGCGCATTGACGTTCTGATGAACTGCCAGTATACGTTATATTCTATGATTTGAATCTATATCTTTGTTCTTCTCCCTTCCATACGAAAAAAGCACTGGGTGGCTTGCTTGCTGGATCACTCGTCTATCGCCCCTAAAAATGAAAGCGACCACGGTTGGACTCAGTTCCTGGCGGCAAATCTAGCCCAGAAGGGGAAAAAAAGAGGTAAAATGAAACATCGGCATAGAACTGAGACAACCCTTGATCTCTGCGTTGATCTTGGTATTAGCCTCTATCAAACCTACAAAATACATCATCTTCTACTCAGTCAATGTCAATCTGGTCTCTTGCCCACATATGACCTACGAGATAGGAAAATGATCGTCCTGTCAAAATCTTAGAACATGCGATGGATGTACGAAGTGCAGCGTGGCTGCTATTTTTGCTTGAGGGAGAATAAAAACCCTAGAAAGAAAGAATCCCATATTCCACAAGGAGTACCGCGAATACAGATATCGATCCTGTTGCCTTGGCTGTCCCTTGGCTATACCCTAAGCTTTCCAACTCAGTGAGCGTCCGGTTCCGGGAGTCTTCCGCTTTGGGAGGAGTTGGGGCCGCATTGCTCAGGTACCCCTGGGCTGTCGTGTTACTGAAGTCACCACATTTAGCCTTTGTATTCTAGAAATCTGTTTCAAGGCACATCTGCACCACCCGTGAACTATTGTTGCACAGGGTATGTGGGATTGAAGAGGGTGTTGATGTTGTTCGTGCAAGTATGGGTTAGGTGGCTTACTCCGCATCACTCAGGATCCCTCAACTAGCTCGAAAGTAAAGGGAAAGCTCGGATGCCATGCTTTGTGATCAATCTAATTGGTCTGAATTTTCCAAAATCTCCATAGATTTTAGTCCTGCTTTGCAAATCATATCAGTAGAAGTTGAACACCAGTGCTCCGGAAGTGCATACAACATCAATCTGTACTGATCTGGGGTGCTCCACAAAAGTGGCCTGGCCCATCCGATCCTTTCCGCTGGGGACTCAAACCCCAGAAAATGATTCAAGGCAGACTCAATTTTTGCATCCAATACGGTAAGGACATATACTATGCATGGACTTGCAGGAGGCCATGAGCTAGCTATATCTGGGGCAACCGGTATCACTGGACTCAATTGATGTTGCACCTTAGGTCGACTTGGCAGACTACACAAATGGCTAGATGGATAGATCATGTACGTAGTTAAACTTCTATTGCACACTTTTAAGCTCTTTCAAAGAAAGAGTACAGAGATGAATACATCCATGTCATCACAATCGTGTCCATTACATCCGGTTGCGTTGGCGGGGAGCCGAGCGGATGATGTTGTCCACCCGCAGGAGAAGCTAAAAGAAAGTCAGCATAAATGCCAAATCGAGGATCACGAATAAACAAGGGCGAATGACATACCTCGGCTGCCTCGGACGCAGACGAAACCACCGCCTTCTTCAATTTATAAGCCTCCACCACACCAAGCTCACGCATATCCGCAATACCACCACCGGGCGTCAGCAGGTCAAGACCAGAGCTGGTCATGCCATTGTTGATCGCTGAGCGCAGGCGAGTGACCAAATCGCTCGAGTCCAAACCAGCGTTGTCAGCCAGGATGGTAGGCAGCTGCTTCAAAGCGTGAGAGAAGGAGTCGACAGCAAGCTGCTTCTTGCCGGTCGTGTTCTGGGCCGCCTGTTCAACAGCCTTAGACATGACCATCTCGGCGCAGCCACCACCAAGTGTGACACGGGGATCCTTGACAGTCTGGGAGAGGACGGCCAGAGCATCGTGGAGCGAACGCTCGGCCTCATCGAGAAGTTGCTCGGTCGCACCGCGCAGCACAATGGTGCAAGCCTGACCAGCGGCCACACCGGAGAACTTGATCAGGGTGTCCTCACCAATGATCACTTCTTCAATCAGATCACACCCACCCAACTTGACCTGGTCGGGGTGGTCGAACGTGGAGGCAATTTCGCCACCGGTAACAAGGGCCAGGCGCTCGATGCCGTCGAAATCGGCGTGCTCGATGGACATAATACCGGCCTCAGTGAACAGCTGCTCGGGCCAGTTGTAGATAAGCTGACGGTTAACGAAGCAGTTGATACCGTGAGCCTTGATGCGCTCGACCTTTTGGCGCATCTTCTCGCGCTCTGCCTTCTCCAACTCAGCAAGCTTGCCGGTCGACTCAACCTTGACTCGTGCACCGAAAATCTTGACCTTATCTGTGTCCATTGCTGTGTTGGCAACCAGGATCTTGGCGTTCTCCAACCGCTTGGGCTGGTTGACACCGACCTTCTTGTCCATAATGAAACCCTCATCGAGGTATGAATCGCTCAGCTTTCCACCGGCCTTCTTGATAATCTGGATGTGAGAAAGATCGGTGGATCCCTTGAGACGCAGAACGGCCTCACAAGCCAACTTGGCGAATTGGTCCCGGTCTTGCGACAGAACCTTCGAGCTAAGTGTTGTGCGGGCAATGGCGTGCAAGTCCTTGCGGAAAGCTTCGGGGTCATGGCTGCGGTTGACCGCCGTAGCCTCGAGAGCGGCGAGGGCAGCCTTGCTAGCTATCCGATAACCCTCGATGATAGTCTGGGGGTGAATTTTCTTGGCAACAAGCTGTTCGGCCTCACGCAGCAACTCGGCGGCCAAGACGGTGACCGATGTGGTTCCATCACCCACCTCATCGTCCTGGACCTTGGAGATGTTGACCAAAACCTTAGCCGCAGCGTTATCCAGAGCGATGGACTTAAGAATCGTAGCGCCGTCGTTCGTCACTAAGATCTCTCCTGTCGACCTGCGACAACAGCAAAGTCAGCATTTCCGGGGTCATATCAGCACATAGGATAATCGAGAACTCCCCCACGTACGCAGATTGTAGGATCTTGTCCATTCCCTTGGGTCCAAGGGTACTCTTCACGAGGTCTCCGACGGCGATAGCACCGACAAAGGCTGAGAGACGGGCATTCTCGCCCTTCTCTTCAATGACATCGTCACCAAAGATCTGTGTGGGATTGCCGAAAGATGCCTAGGAGGGGTGGAGGTGAGCCAGTGCAAACACATTTTACCCACGGTGTCGCGGGTCGATATCGGAACAGCATACCATGATGACCAGCTGAATAAGGCAATCGACCAAAGATCAAATGTCTTGCTGGAAAGGTTGAATCAACTTCTCCTGTCAACAGTGGGGTGAGAAAGGAGAAAAGTTGCCGCACGATTGGCCCAAGCTTCTGATTGGCTGCACTCCATCACCGCCCGCGCTGTCTCTCGACGTTTCCCTTCTGTCGTGACAATCCCTTTCGCTGGAATTGACCTTGTTCGTGTTAATACCGACAATGACTGACTCCGGCGAACTCGCTCAGGCTCCCGCGAACAAGCGGCCTCACTCTGCTATCGAGGCCGAGAACAGTTAGTCCCCTGCATCATGGACACCGTTCAGACCGCTCCCTCGAATGAAATGCAATGGATACTGACCGTATGCGATTGCTAGATGATGACTCTTCCGACGATGATTTCGGCCCTGCGCTGCCCTCAGAGGTCGCCCCCAAGAAGAAGCGGCGCAAGCTTCCTTTTGAGAAAGTCTACATCAATGCACTACCAATCTCCGCACGGTATTCCAGGTCCCTTATGCACAAGGACCAATTGTCATTTGTGACTGTTGCGCCATATACGGACTTTGTGATCACTTCCTCTGTCGACGGTTTTGTTAAGTTCTGGAAGAAGATGGCGGAAGGCATTGAGTTTGTCAAGGAGTTCCTTGCTCACCCAGGCGAGATTCGAGGTGTCACTGTCAGCGCCGACGGCCGCAGCTTCGCGACAGCGGGACTGGACAAGACGGTGAAGATCTTTGATGTTATCACATTTGGTAGGTTTGAAATGTGAAAATCTTGTGGAACACTGACTCACTGACACTGATAGATCTCTTGTCGATGTACACGCTAGAATTTGTGCCTCGATGTGTTTGCTGGGTACACCCGCGCGGGGCCTCGCTACCCCTGCTAGCCGTGACAGACGAGTCAAGTACCACGATACAAATATTTGATGGACGTGGCGAAAATCCCCAGCCATTGCACACCTTAAAATCGGTTCACCGCAGCCCTGTGGTATCACTAGCATTCAACAACGCCTTCAACTGCGTCGTCTCTGCCGACGAATCAGGAATGATTGAATACTGGAGAGCTGGAGATGGATCTTTCGAGAAACCTGACAATGTCTTCGAGCTCAAATCCTCAACAAATCTCTTCGCATTTAAGAAAGCCAAATCCGTCCCGACAGCAATCACAATCTCTCCGTCCGGCGAACACTTCGCCACAGTTTCCTTCCCTGACCGTCAAATTCGAGTATTCGAATTCGCAACCGGCAAGCTTTACCGCACATATGACGAATCAATAACCACCATCACGGAGATGCAGCAAGCCGGAACAGCACCGTACGAACTTGACGAAGTAGAATTCGGGCGCCGCCTTGGTGTTGAGCGCGAACTCGAAAACGAAGCCACGCGCAATAAAGTAAACGTGTCTTTCGACGAATCCGGCCATTTTCTCCTCTACGGCTCTCTTTACGGCGTGAAATGTATCAACACCTATACAAACCGGGTAGTCCGCGTTTACGGCCGCGAAGAGCCTTTCCGAGCTCTTAACCTCGCTATGTACCAAGGACAACCTCAACGCAAAGGCGTCGTAACCGTCTCCATGGCAGCCAGTAGCAACCCGCTCCTCCAGGAAGCCGAAGAACGCGATCCGATCCTCCTCTGCACCGGCTTCGCCAAGGTGCGCTTCTACATGTTCACGAACCAAACCGATATCTCGAAATCTGTCCGTGACGTCCAGAACGAAAAGCCAACCCAAGCAGCAGCTGGCACGGGTACGGCAGTTACCAAAGCCGCTGAGACCGGCACTGCTGCAATCTTGCACACAACCTTCGGCGACATTCACCTGCGTCTGTATCCCTCTGCTGCACCAAGGGCCGTGGAAAATTTTGTCACACACGCCCGTAATGGCTATTACAATAACACCATCTTTCATCGTGTGATCCGTAAGTTCATGATTCAAGGTGGTGACCCGCAAGGTGATGGGACCGGTGGTGAGTCTATCTGGGGCGGGGAATTCGCCGACGAGTTCTCCGTTCTCAAGCACGATAAGCCGTATACGCTGTCGATGGCCAACGCCGGACCTAATACAAATGCCAGTCAGTTCTTCATCACCACGGAGAAGACGCCGTGGCTGGATAACAAGCATACTGTCTTTGGGCGTGCAGTGCAGGGCTTAGATATCGTGCATAAGATTGAGAATGTGCGGACACATAAGGAGAAACCGGAGGTTGATATTAAGATCGTGAGTATCAGTATCTCGTGATATCTCAGCCTTGGGTGGACTCCAAAGAGGTTGTATTACAAAATACGTATTTAAGCAATTATTTAAATGCGCGCGCGCGTTGTGCCCTGTACCCTGCCACTTGGTCAGACAGCTTGAATACAATGGCGAAGATGAACAAGAAAAAAAAAACAGAATCGACAAAAGTCGTCAGCGGAATTTCACTTCGCCATCTTTTAGGTCAAAGCCCGAGAGAACAAGGAAAGAAAAAGAAAAGAGAGAGAGAAAAAAAAGCGCATGAAAACCAAGAATCAGAAAAACACAGTGTGAAGCCAAGAATCCGTACCAAACACCAAGAAATGCAACCATAATCAGTTCTTATGGTATAGAATTAGCGCATTGCGAATAGAAAGAAAAAGACAAGGATTTAAGAAACCTAAATATCCCCTTATCAGAGAAAACCCCAAACAAGCCTTAAACCTGTCGAATCTCCACATCTCCAGAGTCCTGCTCAACCTTGGTCAATCTCGTCCGAGTCCCGGGGACAGGAGTGCTGGTCTTCGCCATGGTCGAGCGCGAGCTACTAGCCAGAGATCCAGCAGCAAGATCGGGGGCCGGCACCGGCACCGGCGCGACGTCGGCCCAGGCGGCATCGCGTGGAGTCGGCGGGGAAGCAGTGCTTAGCAAGCTGCTGCCACCGCCGTGGTAGAGATTGGGCCGTTTAGCGTCATAGCGACGCTTAAACCGTACACCGAGGACTGCGATGAGACTGAATCCGATAGCCAGCACAATGAGCATGATGACCCATCGATAGTGGGTACTCCACCTGCACGGGGTTTTGGTTAGCGGTTGATCTTAGGTGCGGGGATAATTGCGGTCCCGACAGGCGCCATGGTGTTCGGATCCAACATACCATGACGGATTCTCGTCTGTGGCCGAGACGGGCTTGTTCGTGTTTGCGTTCGAGCTGGAACCAGATGTAGAGGCTGCGTTGGCTGTGGACTTGGTTGTTGTGGTGGCGGTGTTGGATGTATCTTTGCCGCCGGAGTTGCAGTAGTTATTATACCAGGTTGAGAGGGTGGCTTGGTCTGCAGCGCTGCAGGTGGAGCAGATGCTGCCGGAGGTTTTGAGGCTGGTGAGCAGGGATGACTGGCAGAAGCATGAGGTCCAGGTTGAGGCGGCGCCTGATTCACAGGAGGTCTGCGCGTCGGTCAACGTTGTGCAGGTCAACCCGCATTGCGGAAATGTATTGGAAGCTGAAGTGGGGAGGATGCTGTCGGCGGCTAGGGCTGAGATTATGAGGGCGATAAGGGTGAGGAAAAGGAATGGGAGGCGCGTAGTGAGTGACATGATGAGAGTAGTGTATTCGAGCTTGATTTAATGAGAGGTGAGTAGCGAATGTAGTGTGAGAGCCGTGAGGCTCAATTTGATATCTGTATAGAAACCCTCAGTCCATGGTTGTTTAACGAAAGATGAAATGAGACCAGAAGACCAGAAGACCAGAATACCAGGAGATGGTTTTGGGTCTAGTCGGGGCCGATTGATTCCGGATTCGGCTTTTCTTTTCTTTTTCTTTTTTTTCTTTTTTTCTTTTTTCCTTTTTTCTTTTCTGGTCCTCCGTACAACAGAGACCATCAACTACAACAGTCATTTCTTTTTAATTACCTTGTGTATGTAGTAACCGTAGCACCGATCGCATGCGTCTTTTCAATTTCCGCAAGCAGCTCAGGAAATCTCAACATTCCGATTCCGATTCCGATTCCGATTCTCTTAACATTCTGACATCTGCCAGATCGACCCTCACTTCCAAGCTTCAAGTTCTAATGCCCATTACCATCCGGTAATAAGGTCGGATGCAGTACAATGATTGGCCAATTCCCACGTTTCAAAGACTATTTTAGACCAAAAGATCGCTTGGGCGTAACATGCGAGGGGGTTCAATTTGAGATTCTACTATGGTGTAGTAGTACATCGATGTGCTTTGGACGATGCATGGAGGAACGGAGTGATCTATGGAATTCTAGCAGAATCGACTGAACTGTAACCCATCCCAGTCTTTCATCTTCAAACAAGGGCCCACCACGATCGGCAGTTGAGATGGTTGAAATAAGGCGACGAAGTTATTTCCAAGTCGTGGCAAGTGGAGACGTTAAGATTATTGAGAGACACCCTTGGGCGGAGAATGATCTAAATCTTGTTATGCAAGATTGAGCACACCCCTATACAAGGATTGCGATATTATTATCTCAGGTACGGAGTCCAACGGCTGTTATGCATATGGCCCCCACTCTCCCTTTGCTGCGCAACGTCGGTAGTTTCATGGGTGTACTCCATACTCCGTATCGTGTCGCCTTCACTTGTGGTGTGTTGAATTGTCCGTGTCACAGTCAACTTGCGCCGATGGGATCTCAACCAGGTCGCTTAAAATGGACATGGATGTATGGATTGTACTCCGAATTATGCAGACCCATCCGTAAACGTCACGATGATAGCGTAGGCTCCGTGCACAAATCGGGTCAATTGTTCGTGACCATTCAACACAGCTAATGAGAACAGAGGTCTTAGCCACATGGCTAGTGGACTTGCTTCGATGCATGATTATCTTTCAAGCCACAGAAGGTAAATCGAAATGGTGTCTCCCTTTGGGGTCAGTTTCCCGGGTCATTGAAAATCGTTAGTGTGCGATGGAGGGACGCTTTTAGGCGATCTGCATAAATCGATACGAGGGATACGTAAAAGAGGCCAAAGAAGAAAAACAAGCAATAGAAGTCTCAGGGCCAGGCTTGGAGCAAAGCCCGTAGATGATTGGATAACAACTCCACCTTTTATTCCTCTCCCCCACATTCCCTTCTCCAACAACACTCCCAGTATACCAATCATGCCGACAACGCCCTCCCGCCAACTCCTTTCAACGTTAATAACCTCTCTCGGCAACACCCGCTGGACCTTACTCCGAACCCTCCGGAGTGAGAACCCCCTCGACCTAAACGGCGAGCTCCGCGGGACCGCGGCCTTCACCGCACAACCTCCCACCACCACCGACCGCGACTGGCTATACTGCGAAGAAGGGGAGATACCTAGCCATGTTGGCACAGGGGCTTTACCGCCTGGTCTACGGTGGACAAAGAAGTACATCTGGCGCCTAGACAGCGACAGCGGACGCGTTAGCGTCTGGTTCGTAAAAGTCGCGCCGGGCCCGGAAGAAGCAGACTACCTATTCCACAACTTCGACTTTGATTCGGGTTCGGATTTAGATTCGCTACCAGATTTGGAATCGGTGTCTGCGCAGAGGGATCCCGGTGAATTCGTCACGCCGCCCGTGCCGCCTGCTGTGTCAACCTCCGGCAAGACTACTGTCCTCAATGCTCGAGGCAACCATCTCTGTATCAACGATATGTATCGCACGGCGTATGCGTTCCGCATTGAGCCTGATACCGGGAAGGTGCTTAGCTGGGCTAGTCGGCATGTTGTGCGCGGGCCGAAGAAGGGGCAGGACATCGTTAATCGGTACGAGAAGGAGGCATGAGATGGGATTGGACGACCCTACAATTGCCATGTTTCTCGCGCGAGGCTACGAGCAGGTTGTGATAGACGCCTTATGTCAATATGGAGTCCTCTCGGGGGTCCACCAAGATCACGATCTTGATGATAAATGTTCATTTTCAACTCAAATCTCGATCTGGCTCCACTCTCCCTTCCACGCCTATCCAGCTATCCCACCGCTGCTCATAACGGGTCAATGAAATCCGGTTTTTCTGTCACCCAATAGCTCGATCTTAATTTGGTCCAATCTTTGGAACCAGTGGTCATGTTCGCCACGTCTGCGCCTACCGTTCTCATGCCGTTGCAGAAGGTACTGCACCACGGATCCACCGAAGAGGAACAGAACCAGGTCGCCGAGTACTACTCCGTGACCGAGGTAGTATTTGGGCTTATCGTCATTGCGGTCGATGTTGGATGAGACGAAGTGGTTCAGATTTCCCCGGCCGATGTTAAAACCAAGGGAGACACCTCGTTTGTCTACACCTAGAAATCAATCGAGTTAGTCTTGGCCATGATTACGTAGGCAAGACAAAAATGTGGAATTCGGGGTAAGAGCTACCTTCGGTGCCGTTACTAGTCCATGATATCGGGTTTGCAATGGCTCAGTAGATGCCCATCGCCCCGAGCAAGGAGCCTGCCTCAATCCGGCCGATGGTCGAGTCGACTGTGTTGCCACGGTCTACCTGAATCATGGTTCGATAGGCACACCCTGGCCCGTGTTCCAGTTCGCGTGCATGGATTGCAGCATTAGCTGGTATCTACATGTTGGGGCCCCGGGTCGATCGGCAGAGATTTGAGTGGTTGGAGCACGATGGGCATGTCGCGAGTGAGCCCTAGTGGAAGAGAGATCTAACGGGAAGAAAAGGGCCAACGTTATTGCAGGACTGATGATGAATCCTGAGCCTTGGATGGTAGCAGTTAACAGTAAAATGGATAAATGGATAAATAAGCCATGTCTGGGCATCTGGGGGAAATTAGGGCGACCCCCCGCATTCCCCCCGGGCTCCACTGAGCGAAGCTTTCCCGCCTCCATCTTGTCATGCAAGAATTGCAACGTCCACAACGGCCCACTCCTTTACGTGAACACGGAAGACGTCGAATTTGCTCAAAAACGTCCCCACTGTGTACACTCGGCTGAGAGCACATTGCTGTTGTGTCGGCCGACGTGACCATCATGAAGATTGATCTTCTGTAGTCCAAATCTAGTCAAAAGTGGTGCAGTCAACGCCTCGATTATCTATCTGTTGACTGTGTAGCTTTTGATTCCATTGACGTTGATGACCTTTCCCCCGTATTTCGATTAGACGGTGGTGAACTCGGCATGGTGGAAGGATTTTCTCGGCCTTGATCTCGCTGGCACCATAACCCCGAAAATTCAGCGCCTTAACCTTGAAGCCATACAGCACACCCCATAGTAAGGGTGATAGCCCTGGCTCCTCCCCGGCAGTCTCACATTCAATGTGCATACGACTTTGAGGATGTCGTGTGTGCTAATCGTCACATACAACCAAGCAACGAACTGTGACTGCAATTTGGGCCAACTTTGAGGTGGTAAGATCTGCTCATTGGATCTAGGGCGTAACTTGGATTTTGAGAGTATTGTAGTTACAATTTGTATTTGAGATGTTGTGAGTTCTAAATGTACCAAGATGGAGACCCGATATTTATGACTGTACTCGGAAATAAAGGGCCATTGCAAAGTTGTGATCAGAGCCCATTTTACCTTCTTGTAGCTACCTGGTGATGAGGAACCTCCGAAATGAGATGGAAACAAGAGCTAATTGACCCCGATCAAAGTGTGGTATCGTTGCGATACATCCCCGATCTATGCGATTACAGATCATTCTTTCGTTTAATATCGCCCGGACGGGATTGCGGTTTCATGGGGTTGCCAAATCCATTGACGCGTCCATGGAGCCACTTGAGAGTAATGGTACTCAGTGTCATGATAACGGCACTGAGAGTAAACAGGCCAATACGACCTGATGTGGGCAGTGCTTCGAAGATAGGATATGGGTACCTAGAATAATTAATAAGTGGCGTCAGAAGTGCTAGATCATACACGAACCATCCATTCTGGGAAAAGCATTGCTCAATCCAGAACCAGTAGCCGAAAGCGATAGTGCTAGACAACCCCAATGCAGGGAGCACAGTGATTGTCCAGGGTGGAGATAGGAGCAGCAGGTCAATCAACATCACCACTGACGGTGCTGCATGGAAGCTGATGTCTTTCATTGTGTTATTAGAGTTGCCCTAAGATGTACTTTTCATAGACATACCGGCATGAAGGGGAATTGAAATGTCTTCGGGAACAACCAAATGCCCATCAATCTATACTTGGGTTAGGGGAGACTTCGAAGTGAGCATCTCATCGAATTACGTACCAAGCGAAGACCCCAGTATAAAACACTGATCACAACTTCAAGGGGGGCACCGCATATCGATAGGATGTTTTTGATCAGGAACAGTCGCCGGGACGAGGTGATGTCCGCTACTAGTGCGACCGCAAAAGTGAGTGTTGACAGCGACAGGCCAATCACAGTCAGATATTGAAAATGCCATCCATACGCTTCATTGCTGTAAAATCTAAAGTTGAGCTTCGTTTCCAAGATCAAAACTAGACAGGGGCTTACGCTTCGTTCGGGTTTTCGTGAATGCTTCAAGAATGTTAGCAACCCCTCAAAAGTACAGCTTGATAGATGGCCCATACTATTTGAATGACCACAAAAAGCTCGAAAGTCCAGCCAACTGGAAAGCAACTCGTCAGTGCTGGACCGACGTGACAAGTGAAAGAGGACCATGGTACTTACGTGAACCAAGGCTGATAAGCCCCGTGAAGGGCTCGGCATCCACTGAAGCGGGTGCCGATCGATGAGAGATTTGGCCATATCGGGAGAAGAATAAGGACACAGGCGATCTCAAGTCCTCGTTCTATGTGTAACCTAGAAACTAACTTCTCCAAATTTGTTATGCAAGCGCAGCTCAAGGAACCAATGTGCTCCCGGGAACTGCCCAGGTGAAAGCTATGACGTTGGTTCAAGATACGAGCGCACGTGACAGGCGGAATGAATCGGCGGCATGCCGGTCTGTATCGGACTATAACATAACCCGGCTGATTCATCGTTTCTTATCTCGGCCATGTGCTTCCCCACACTTTTAGTCTGCGCTCCAAAGACAACCTTTCTTCTTTACATCAAAATTGAGAATTTTGTTGTGAATCTGTGGCCCTTGTCTGAGCATTGAGGTCAGTCGACTACCCGGTAGATCAAGTGATCGTATTGAACAGAACCACCTTCTGTTTTATATCTTGTTCTATATCCGAGGTCGTTAGGATCGACACTACCTTGGGTTAGTATCGGCTTCTCTTGCCTTCCCATTGCTGAATAGCAGTGGGACTCGAACTGTTCCTGGCATATCTCCCTCCCATACCTCGATGTGCTTGTATACTAGGTGTGGGTGCTTGGTCGATTATCGCTTCATTGCTACTTGGGGTCAACGAGGATCGAAACGAAAGCGTGCCAACTCTGACGTGCTTCCGGCGTAAGGAGTCTCGATTAGACTGATTCTGTATGGCGGCGGAACATCACACAGTGACCTTTGGCTATTTCGAGCCTCTGTTATCTTGATTTGTCACTGCGAGACTTGACCAGGCGCCCTTTGACGTGCAATGCCTCGTCCTAGAAGGCCTGGTGCACCAGAACCAAAGCGCCGAAGCCGTAAGGGATGCTGGTATGTTACTAAGATGTCAACCCAAGCTTTGCCAAGGCTAACAATCGCATCAGGCCATGCAAAGCACGCAAAGTAAAATGGTGAGCAGCACAATCCCCGCATGATACTCATGTGGTTAACATGATCTCTGCAGTGGCGAGGAGAAACCAGCATGTCTCAATTGCCAGCGACAAGGCGACCATTGCGACTATAGCGTCCGTCTGAATTGGGGAGGAAGGGCGAAACGAATGTCAATCGACTCACCGAATTCACAATCTAGTGGGTATGGAGAAGCTGCAGTTGTAACTTCAGACTCATTCACTTTCAACAATCTGAGCCCGACTTCTTTCCCCACTCCAACAAGCAACAACCCTGCCGATGGATTTATCAACATTCAATCAAGGGAGTTAACGTCGCCGAGAGCAATATCTCCGAGCACACCAGCTCAAGTGAGCTTTTTCGGATCCCCCAGGCTCGGTTCAGGCTCGGAAGGAGCGACATCGCCGGGCCAATTAGAGCCTCAGTTCTCCTCAACTTGGGCGGAACAATCTCCTCCGTTGACAACATCAGCATCCTCGGCGCCTTTGCTGCAATATCAATTGGGACAGCAGAGCTTTGACACCCCATCATATCTAGATTCGGTAAATCCGACATCCGGTATCAGATCACTTTCTGCATTTGCGTTCCATACAAACCCCGTGTCCCAGCCAGTCTCATACATGCGCCACCCTGTAAATGCTTACAGTCACTGCTCGGGTCCATCTACCTCCCACTCTCATTATGAAGGACACCTTGACCAGGACATTTATCTTGGCGCTGGGTCTAGGACAGGGCAAACCGGATCTTCACACAGTCCGCGGGATGCGGGCGACCTATCTTCCATGCTATTCGATTCACACAGAGTGTCGATTGCTGAAAGTGATGCAGCCTCGTCTCCGAAGGTCCGTGAGACAACCAGCAACATGGGCTCTGTACATGACTATCAGAATGAGTTGACTCCGGATCATCAGGCATCGGCAGAGAGCAATCATGAAGCTGATCAAACATCCCACAAGTCTTCAATGGCCCGCAACAAATGGCAGGAATATCTAAACAGTGTAACTGACAATTATGGATTGGACTCCGGGCGCCCTGATCAGGATCTGACTTTCAACAACGACCATGCTGCCATAGACATCAACTATGCGTTGGATTTGATTGGGTCTCGATTGCATAACGAGGAAGCCTCGCAGTCGAAAGTCTCTCAACCTGACCCAAAACAAGTCCAATTTTGCAGTGGTTACTACTCTTCCCCGGTGCCCATCAATATCCCGAGGTACTTGTCTCCGCTTCCATCATCGCTGCTGGAAAACCCCATCAATTTGATGTACTTCCATCATTTCCTAAACCACACTGCTCGGATGCTTGTCCCGCACAACTGCGATAATAATCCGTTCATCTCGGTTTTGCCCTCAAGTGAGTTGTACTGCTCAAGATTAGGCTATCGTTTGGAACGCTGACGAATTAGTGGCAATCGGTGATTCCAATCTCCTGAACTTGTTGCTTGCATATTCCGCTAGTCATCGTGCTCGATACCTAGGTCATCCCGAACCCGCCAATCGAATCGCTCATTGGGTCAGCAAGGTTTTCCCAACCTTGCGTATGGCATTAGAGTCATCCAGTGAAGACATCACTGACAGTCACTTGGCCACAGCCATTATGCTGTTGTCATTAAAGATCGTTTCTCCAAGGACATTTGAAGTGCCGATCACCTGGAAGAGCCATCTGAAGCTTGCTCGCGATTTATTCCTTGCACGAAGTGAGAGTATGTCGCAGCCTGGAAACCGGATCGGGGCGTTCTTCGCCCGCTGGCTGGGCTACCTCGACACTATGGGATCTCTGTCATGTCGAGAAGCTGGTCCTCCGCTAATGATATACCACTCCATCCTAACAGACTGTTCCGCGCCTGACAGTCTTGATGAGTTTGGCGTTGACTGCTTCACTGGGTTCACTCCCCGCACTGGAGTCTTTCTGATCCGTCTTGCACGGCTGGTGCAGGAATGTGACAACCAACGCTTCGATGAAATGGGTAACTTCCGGCATGATTGGCACGCATCTGCGGAAGTTGTTCTGGAAGCGCAATCCGTACTTGGTGATATCGACGGGATCAGCGAGCGAGCGTATACCAGCCTTGAACACCATCATGGCGTTGAGTCTTCGGACATGATAGCCATCGAGGAGGCCTTCCGGTATGCCGGTCTTCTGCATCTCCATCGACGTGTCCTTGGGTCTTCGCCTTCCTCCTTCCCCGTGAAGGAGGTATTGAGCAAGCTTATTGATGCTCTCGGTCGCATGCGCCCTGGTGCAGCCACTGAAGTCTGCTCCTTGTTCCCGCTCTTCACGGCTGGTTGTGAATCTAGAGACTCGGTTCAACAAGGCAAGCTTTTAGACCGGTTCTTTGTATTGGAGAGTTCGGGCATGAAACAGGTACGGTTCCATGCGTTTTTAACATTCGATTGGGAAGATTTGCTGATACGATATTCGCTAGATTCAAAACGCGCGTCAACTGATGCAACACTGCTGGGATACTGATCTGCCTTGGATTGCCCTGGCTAGCGGTCAATTTCTAGGTTAGAGTCGGAGCTTTTCTGGTCTGAATCAATAGGATGTTCCTGCCAACCTTGATTTACAGGCTCTAGGCTCAACGTCTGGCAATGATCTGAGCTAGAATATAGCACTATGTAGTAGGGAGATTTGAGATGGTTACCAAGGACCCCTCGTCTTCGAACCTAGAAAGGTCCTTAAAAGCGAGACATCATGCGATGCCCCTAAGGTGTTTGTCTCCCTTTTGGCGTGATGGGCTTATTCCCTCTCTTCTACTGTCCAAATGCTGCCCACCTTCCAGTACCTATTCCTAATACCATCCGATTCTTGTCAATAACAAAATACCACGCCCATTCCACATCTGGCCTACATCTTGCACTACCAGTAAGCCTCAATTCCAAATGGCACGGAACCATGGGATTTGACATGTTGGCATATATAGATTCGAGCTGATTTTCGCATTTCTGCCGCCTACATGTAAGCACTTCGGGGACCTTTTTCAAAGAGGTCCTTCCCGACGCCTCATAAGTCCTACCGCATGCTCTCGAGCTAGCCATGGAGACTGCTGAGAATGTGAGCCCAGCTTCATCGTACCTCAAGAGGGTGCTTTTGTGTCGTGATACGAACCTGCGGAGGCTGCCCCTTTCACCGAGTCGCGAATCATCAACTTTCTGTTTGGATTGGACTGGGCGAAGTTTATATGAAGGAGCTAGCTTCGGATACTTACCATCAGACAGGGACCAGAAGAACTTCGTTACGGTATTTTTCAAGAAGCGAAAGCTGAACTTTGAGGCTACCCTTGATGATAAAAAGCGTGCCGTGGGGGACGGAGATTGATATTGGTCGGAATCCTAAAGCAGCGGCGCCTTCGAAGCTGTTAAACCGATTCCTGATATTGCAAATCAGAGGATTGAAGCCAGTTGTTTTGGATAGGTGGAGAAAAGGGAACGTTGAGGATTGAATATAGCACTTTCGGGTTTCGTCAGTGCACACAAGACCATCCGAAGGATAGAAGTTTTAGCCAATGTCACCAAAAAAAAATAGCTATAGATTGACCGCGTTATCAAAGGTCTTTCCCAATACATTGCAATGCCCCAGCTACCAAGACCGCTAATGATATTGTAACAAAATAAACACCAGCCCGGACCCAAACAAAAGGTCACTAGATTTGGTTCTTCTGAACAGAAGCTCCAAGAGATTCAACCATATTGACAGGAAAACAAAAAAAGAAATGCACCAATATCACAAGAGAGAAAAGAGAGGAAGGAAATTAAAATTACGCGATGAAGTTGCGGCGCTTGCGGTTGTAAGCCCTCTGGTCTTTCAGCCAGTTTCGGTAGCCCGCAACGCTACCAATCTTCTCACCGTAGTAATCGGGAACAGGGTTAGAGATGGAGTTGGTGGAAGGATCGACACGGAACCGGCGAATGCGATCAAAGAACTCCTTCTCTTTCTGCACAACAGAGACAACACACATTAGCATAGACCAGACATAAATCACTGCTCACTGTTTTGCAATTACTCACCGTATTGACGGAAGGCTTGTACTTGCTATACACAAGTCCCCAGATACCATTTCCGAGAGCCGGTCCAAGAAGCCATCCGACAGCACCGCATGTGGCGGTCGCCAATCCCAAGACAACAAAGGGATCGAGACCCATGACCGTCGCGCCGAGATGTTCAAGGTCCTGTCCAGACAAGACCTGCACACCGATGCTAGTGCTAATGGCAGAGCTGGCAACTGAAGAGACGAGGGAGTATCGGCGGCGGGAAGCGCGGAGCTTGAAGAAGGAGTCCCAGTCGAGCTTGACTTCGTTGTTGGTAGGTGCTGAGGTCGATTTTGCGCGCAGAGCGATGGGTGATGGCGACGCGGCCTTGGATTGTGGCCGGGAGTCTAGGGTCAGTGTTGCGGCTGGGCGAGCTGTCGTGGAGCTCAGGCGTGTGAGCTGCTTGGATGCCATCCGGGGAGTGATCTGGTGAAGTGGACGAACGGCGCCGGCGAGCGAGGACGCGGCGGGGTTTAGTTGACCCAGATACATCGCTTTGCGGAGGGACATGCTGATGGGATTGGTGTTCATTTTGGTGAAGAATTGGAATTGGTTGCATTGCAGATTCCAAGTCTTGCCATGAAGTGAGAATTGGAGGTGGAACCGGGTTATGTAAGCGGAATGGGTCCCCGGGGCCGCAGGGCGACATCACGATCTGAGATATCGAACAAGTTGCACTTCAATTTCCTTGAGGTAGATGGATACTATAATAGGCTAAGAATACTACGTGGTAACTCGCTGGAGCAGAAAAAGATGCGGTTCTTCAAAACACAATTGGCTATCTATAGCGAGCGGAATCTCAAGTGCTCTTAGAGGGAATATGTAGCGTTTGACCGAAAGGGAAATCATCGCAGTGATTGAGCTGATGAAGGCTGAGTAAATTGGGCCTCCGCGCACAGAGGCTATCTCATGATGTAGGTAGGCAGCCAGAGTACAATGACGGGGAGCGTGGTGGTACCGACGGTTGCGAAAGCTCAATCCTCCGGAGAAGCAGGTCATTGGGGCTCTATACGCTTTTTAAAAAGAAACATGGGTAGGTCTGTTCTTTGGTTTATAGACAATGAAGGCGGTACGATCTATAGTAACAGAGAAAGTCTTAGGTGGCAAAGAGATGACTAGTTTAGTAAATGATTATATGGAGAATGAAAGGACAGGTTTGCATTTCACCAACCACCTTGATGTCATTGATATATATACCTTGGAGACGCCACAAGTGCTAGAACTATATGTCAACCTAGGAAATACCCCCCTTCCCACAAGGCTACAATTAGATGCTATGGTCTTTAATGTAGCCTAGTGGTAGAATTGGTACGATTTTCAACATATTCATTGTCCACGAGTTGATTTTACCAGGGTTAGAGCGAAGACTCAAAAGACTTACTCATAAAAAATACGGTCGTCAGTGTAATATATGTGATCTCCTATGGCCACTGAACACGTGCTAGCGTACTCAATTCTCCAATGGCGGGGTGGGGTTGAGGTCTATTGAAAAGCAGGGGAAGTTGAACAAAAATGAAACGACTGATTAGAACAATCCACAACATGTGAAGTCCCCCATTGCCAACAGATACTATGAAGACAGAGAATACCGTAATCCAGAGTCGGATATAGACTGCACACAAACAAATTTATATCTAGAGATCTGGCTGCATTTTAAGCCTTTTTCTTCTGTCTGCCTATAAAAACATAAGAGGATATCTAAACAGATGACCAAAAGGGCGTGACGAGGCCGCAAATGCGGCAACTATTGTGAATGCATATTCACCGGGGGAATTATATGAAGGCTGGCAGTAGTCAAATAGGATGTTGATAATGATCAGCCTATTCTACTATACACTTGATAGAAGTAAAAATCCCACATCAAAGTTCTTTCCCGGATTGGGCGCCCTACAACACATAGGCTGATAAGGCCTGCATGACCCTGACCTCATTGGCTTAGCGCGGAAATAAGTTCAGATATGAGCTCATACATATTGAAGATCGATATAGAATGCAGAATATAAAATATAGAACCGTGGAATATAAAACAAAAGATTAAAAATTGCACATTGGACAGAGATAAGTATTCCTACCGTGTACTCCGTACATACCTAGTAGAACCAAAAGCCAAGAAAAAAAAAAGTCTGTCGTCATTTGGCGAAATACCAATTTCTCCCCACCACAGGTCCCTGGTCCCCCGTTGAAAACCCCCTTAATTGAGGTTTCCCTAACTCATCAGTCTTTGCTATCGCATACTGTCTTAAGGATGTCACGAAATATCTCCTACGGCCGCGGAGGGGCAGGTAAGTGACACCTCCCTCTTTCTCAACGCGCCACACCAGTCCACTATCCTAACCGACGATGCTCAAGGCAACATAACCCGGCAACATACCGCGCCTTCACCCAAAGACCTCGTCACACCAACAATCAAGCAAGAATTCTACACAACAGGTCGCGGTGGCTCAGGAAACATGGCACACAACGACCCAGAGCGACCAGAGATTGCGCGCGAGAGTCAAGACGTCGAGTCACCGCCCCTGCGCGCCCAGCAGATCCCCCACCACACAGGCCGAGGTATGTTCTAGACTCAATTTGTCTCTAGAGCGAATGCGATTTCAGGCATTTGCAAGGTTGTTCAAGGCTACAGCTGCTAACGGATGTGCTGTTTCCACAGGCGGCGCGGCAAACGCTTATATCCCTACTCCCGAAGAGGAGGAGCGCGAGAAGAAGATCCAGGAGCAGGAGGCGGAGCTTATTCGTGTCCGCACGCAATCCAAGGATCGCGTTCGGGAGATTGAACAGGAGAGGCAGGAGCTGCGCAGGGACTCGCCTTCTTCTTAGATTGGCTGTGGTAATCCAGGATGGGGTGGACTGTGGTTTGCGATTCATTCGTTCTCATTCAGACACCTCTCCATGGAGGAGGATTTTCGGTCTGCTCCTGGCTGCGAAGAGGACTTGTTTTTCTTTGGCTGCAGTGCCGATCCTGGAAGAGGTGTTTGTCCGAACTGAAACGAATCAGAAATCACTGCAGGCAGTGCTGCTTCGATGCGAGGGTCGTCCTTGTTTTTTTTTTTTTCCACGTCGAGCTTTTGGTCAGACTGATGGGGTTGTGGCGCTTGGTTTTCTTTGTTTTCTGTTCTTCGCACAGCTTCTCCAATCGGCGTGCCCGGCTTCAAAGACTCGGAGAGTTGCTTCATACCTATCATGGAATGCCGGGAAAGGAATGGCGCTTGAGATACATGTGGGCGGGATTCTGTTTTTCTTCTATTGACATGCGCTTCGATGTGTATTGCAAGGATTGTCTGTGTTTCCAGGAAATGTTTCCTAAACACCGAGAAATGAGATGCTTCCCATGACAAGCGATCCTTGTCTCAATTGAAGAAACTATACCATGTACAGTCAAATGTCTATGTTAATTACACGCTTCATGTCTCATCAGATAGATGCATCGCTCATGCTTAATCAAGCCACTTAAAAGGGACACCACACAAAAAAATCAAAGACTCGCTATCAACAGCAACTCGTCATCAAATGCAACCCGTCATCAAAAGCTAAGCGGGGATATCACTTGCACTCGTGCCTCAGTCCTTGGAAGGAAGCACCCCGTCGCATCAATCGGCCAGTTGATAAGGTCTTGGCACTCCGGTTCAAGAATGTTCCCAATTTCCTGCAGAATCCTATTCCCCCAATCCCCCATCCACCACGAACTCTTCAGGTGATGCAGAATTACTGCATAATGCGCTAGAATAACAAGCGCAAACGGCCGGCGCGCCTCAAGCAGCTCTAAAAATTCCGCCGGGATTTGGAAACTCCACCACAAGGCAAACACCTTCGGCTCGCCACCTTTCACCAGCTTCTCGAGCGCCTGGCTGAGATGTTCAATGGCCGAGTCGTACAGATCCGCCTGGTGCGTCGGATCCCGCATGGCTTCTGTGTCATTCTGTCGCTGTAGTGAGAGAACCACTAGCCGCGACATGTCCGGCATGGTTGGGAGCGGCTCTTCAGGGTGGAAGAGCGGGTTCAGCTCTCCCGTTCTGATGCGTTCCATCGAGGTCACCAGGATGCTGATTAGCCACCGAGTTAACTGGAATACCTCGAAGAACTCGTCCAGCACGTCGGGCTGTTCTGCGTCTGAGTCGTTTTTGCAGTCAATTTGGCAGAAGCCGAAGGTGAACACAACCATGACGCAACACAGCGCGAAGGTCGCTTGACATTCTGTCTCCGGTGTGTCTTCGTCAATCTCAGTTTGGAGGCCTATCAGCGCTTGCGCTTGGTACGAGCGTGCTGTGTCAAGGTATCGCCACCGTTGGGAAGATGTGCTTGTTGAGGCGAGGTGCAGCGCTGAGAGGGCGAGGATCCCTTGGCGAAGGGCTGGGTAGCAGAGGGAGAGCTGGGGGATGTTAATTTGCCATATTCGCTCAGAAGCGGAGTCCCCTGCCATGGATTTGTAGGTTGTTGTGCACCAGTTCATCATCAATTCGAGGTCTTTCAGGTGGAGGTTTTCTTCGATGTGGACCGAGAGACATGTTGGTAGGTGCTCTTGTCGTGGTTGGGAATCCGACTGCGAGGGAGAGGATCCTGACATGGGGGTGGGAGATGATGGCGAAGTGCTAGTGGAGGGGATGAAAGATCCACGCTTGTTGTCTAGCCGGGTCAATTGGGGCCGAGGTAAATACTGGCTGCGCTTAGTGCGATTTAGGCGATGCACACAGGTTGAGCTCTGCTCCTTGTGCTATGAGAGTTGCGTTAGTGTTGAAAGGTGGGAGAGAAGGTCAATTTCAAAGAGGGAGATGAGCAATGGGGATGGGACACTCCAATCTCACTATGAGTTGAAAGCTCGGAGATGGGTTGGGCCCAGAAGCCCTAAGTAGGGGGGGGGGGGTGTCATACTTTAACACGCCGGTCACTTTGCACACTTTTCTGGCGTCGCTTATTCGACCATGATGTTGATTGGCATGATTGCATTGTAGAGGTGTAATGCTCGAGACTCTGAGTGGTTTATTTGATTCGGGGGGTTGCAGTGAACTTGAATCATCCAGATAACACCCGGCGAAAGGATAGGATATCATGAGAAAGTCATATCAGCCATAGGAGCGGTGGGGGTTTAGTTGACATTTTGATATGTCCATTTTGGTGCCAAATCGGTATTCAAAGCACCAAAGAGGTAAGAGTGGCGCTGTGTCCCAAATCGGTAAATGCAGGATGGCTCGTGCTTCAGATGACATAACCTGGTGCCCACCGGCGGGGTCGCGTTCGCGACATGTCCGCCACTCCGGTTTTAAACTGGCTTTGCCTACGTACTCAATTCTAGAATCACTGGGCTGTTCTACTCTTCAAGAAATCGCTTATAGTCAGATGGTCTCCTTCTCATATTCAAAGCCACATCCCCAAAAGCAAAAGGACAACGTGAATGTGTTTTTGCAGGAGATCAAAATACTCGCCCCATTCGAGCAGAAACCTCCGAGCTAATATGAGAGATCTTCGGGACACTATCCTAGTTTAGTATAAGCACAAGCTACTCCGTAAAGGTCACCAGAAACGAAATGGAGCAAAACAGCTGTCCGCCCCACCCGCCCCACCCGCCCCTAGAACAACCTTGGAACCCACGTTAAAACCCCCTTCAGGACTAGCACTATGGGGTCGGTCAAGTCTATCCGAAATAAGTTTCACTCGAGCAAAGCTTTTCCCCAATTAGGGAAGACGCGCAAGTGCTTGAACCCCTGTCCCATGCACCTGTGCATGCCTAGGTGGAAACATCCATATCTTCATCCCTGCCCGTGATCTTCTTTGCCCTAAGCTCACTTCTGGTTAGTATGATGATGTCTTAGCTCAGGCCCGTGTGATTTCTTTTGGAAAGTTACTCCGTAGGGATTGGTGGTCGCATGTCATTTCCATCGGACATGGTGGTTATCCGCAAGCTCGGACGGTTCCCCCGCAACTGAGGATGGGCCTGACCGAGTTGGCGCGTTAGTGAGACTTCAAGTTTCGAATGGAAACGCAAAGGAGCCTTGTGTTGATTGGTCATCATTTCCTTTCTTTTACTGATTTCAGTTCATGGAACGCTGCAGATGTTTTATGCTGCTCCGATCCTTTCGAAATATCTCAACGAACTTGCCCGCCTAATCCCACCCATGCAAGGTGATAACCACGCCACTGAGCTCGCACGCCATCTACCCCAGGGTCCTGTCAGGCTGACCTGCGATCCGCCCAGCCGTTAGAGTGGTCCTTTTTTTCCGGTTCTTGGGACCCTTGTGGGTTTGACTACGGTCATTTGTTTTGGCGTCGCGTAGTAAATGGTGTGGTTGCTGACCATGTTTTACCCACCCCGGAATGCAAGGCAACGCACTATGGTCTCGCTTAGATCGCCTTTCGGAAGTGTTCAACTTTGGTGTATCGCTCGGACTTCGCGGGTGCGAAATTAACCAGATTCGGCCTAATTGTGCGTAATAGGTGACCTACTAGTGTTTTCCCGCCTTTCACAAAGCTGATACCTTCCCTTCGCCGATAAGCACATTCTCCCTGCACGAATTGGCGTCGATGCTCGAATTTTAAGCACCGATACCTCACCAGTATTCTAGATCTGACCGGAAACACGGCAGGTGTAATGTCACGAAGGTCAGCATGGGGAGTAGCGAGATCAGGCGGCAATGGTTTTGAGACAGCGCCTCACCATATCCTTGATAGGGTTGAAAGAAGATACCGCCTACCATGCTAGATTTACTCGTTAATGGCCAGGTGAGCATATTAGGGTAGGTGACCAGGATTTAAGGGCGATTGTGAATACCGTCAATCTAGACCTAGGAGGTCAAGGACCTGAGGTGATGAGTTGTGCTTGGCGGAACAGTAGCTGCATCAGAACCAGGGTCTGGTTGGCTAGCCAGATACCGGGCGACTCCGACGGACAAATGTATATCTCCGTTCCAGGGGTTGATTGTCTGATCACTGAAGTTGCATGTTGTAGGCTAGCTGCGATGGGTATGACCGCAGCGGAAATCTTCGGCCTGATACCAAGGTTGAATTCCGCAGATATTCCAATCCCTGGTGGTGTGTGCCTTGGGGGGATTGCCAGGGTCTGTGAGTCCGATGATTATCATTTGGTTACTTGCCAAGAAGAGGATGACTGTCATTTACTTGTCTTTGCATTCATAACGGCGCACAGGCCTTGCTCTCTGGTCTGGGAGTGTAAGATACATGGGTGCTAATGATGCCAGCAGCACCACTTGATGCGTTTAGTGCATCCTCCCTCTCAAGTTTGCATCAAGTGCCATTTGTCTGCACATTGAATCTTTGTGGTGGTCGAGCCAGTAGATGGATTTTAGCCTTACATGTCTCCAACCCACGAATGGCATTTTTGACCACGCCTGTATCTATGCATTTTGAGTTCTAGAGATGTTGGGTTTCTTCCTCTTCCAATGGCAATCCGGAGGGCATATCTTCTAATGTACAGCACACCATCAAGAGTGAGATTGGTGTTGGGCACTTACCTTAACTCGAAGTAGTACAAAAGCATCTGGGGGCGGGCACCCCTGAAGTGCAGGAGTACATCAGACATCTCCAGGGCCCCCGAAATAAGTTGTCTTACTAGCATTGACCAAAGTATACAGTCGCTGTTTATCAGAGCATGAATCATAAAAAACATAGAACGTTATGTGGCCCGGCTAGCTCAACCCACAGTAGTTGCTAACATACGATTGGCCGTGTTACCCAATTTGGTTGACACCTCCCGCAACGACAACCTTGACCGACAAGGGATCTCGCCGGAAAGCCGTATGACTGCACTTCAGAATTCCAGCGTTCATCTTGGGAGGTAATCCGCCCCGCGCGAGTATTTCTGGCCTGAAGCATAGACACGGACAATAGGATCACGCATTTCAGTTAACGTGTGGGATTCAAAACGCCTATGCCAACACCAATAACAATCGCAATGCAAGATCTTCAAGCGCAAGTATTAGCCACCTGCCAAAGCTACCAGCAAATGTGAATAACCAATCGTATATCTATTATGGACGGAGCCTCACGGCCCAGCAACGTGTGCCCTGGACAGTGGACATAGACAGGGAACCAGGGGCGATGCTGTACTGGATGAGGAAGTGGGCATCTTCCGTGTCAGTGCCAAGGTGTTGAGGCCACATTTTACACGTGAAGTTCTTGGTTGTGGCTTTGTATTCGGATGAGTCTGTGAGCGCGCCGTAGGTGGCTAGGTTGGCTTGGTTTGGTCTGCAAGCTCGCCGTGGGTATCGTTGAGGGATAGCTGATAGTCTGGATAATGGGGTTTCTTGTAGAAGGGTTTGAGGTAACACTCTCATTGGGGATGCGTCGGCTATAGGTAGGTTATGGGTATGTTGGCGTTGCCTGTGGCGTGTTGGTAGGCGTAGACTAGGCTGCGCCGCATAACCAACCGTAAAGGTTATGTTGTGGTTCGAGGGTCATGGGCAGTCCAAGACCATTTACCATATGAGCCAGTCAACTTTTCAGGTTTGCCATTAGGAAGCTCTGGCGCATCGAGGCTGACTGGCCGGTAGCTGTGGAGAGGGAGCCCCCAAAGTCGGGGGCGGGTAGCGTAAACGCTGCCCCACACAACATTTGTCCATTCCTGTTCTCTAGAGGCATCAGCGCCTTTGATCTGGAACATGCTCGTCGTGGTTTTTGAACAACTCTACAACATAACTGACATTGATCGCTTGACTCATCCAAAAAAAAAATGTCGAGGCTGCATGTGTGGGACCCACTTCAACATGCGTGGGCGACGGTGCAGAACTTGGTAAATGCATACCAAACAGATTATACGCGACACCATCGACACAAGCATTGTCAGACCAAATCGGATCGTTGCCTAGAACTGGGCTCCCTTAAAGGAAGTGAGGTCACTGTCGATTGGTTAATGAACGTAGGGGATGACCGACACACACCAACGAGATGTGGACTTCGATTGATCGCTTGAGTGAAAGATAGTGAGGAGATCACCAACACGCGAGTGCTGAACAGTGCATACTCTTCACAGATCTGTCGATCATCCGGCTCAACGTTAACCTGTCCAGTATGCCATTTGGTTTCCCAAGCCTCTACCACGTAGGACTTTAGATGCCTCATAAATCGTAATCCCTAATCTCACTGGGATGAGATACCCTAGACTTTAGAAAATTGACCGATATCTGCAAAATACCACTATTGAATGATCACCGTGATTTTTTCCATCATTGTACACCCCCTTTTAATATATAGATGGCCCATTAGTGCTCTGTTCTATCTTTTTTGATCTTTTTTGATCTTCAAGCGGGGGCACTAGGGCACTAGGGCAGTATTCCCGAAGATCAATTGCAACCGAAATTCGAATGCTCCCGAGATGTAGGGTGTTTTATCATCTTTGTAAATTCTCATCTTCAGATTCTAAGCCACCACGATACATCATTTTAAATCAGTTCAGGGGTGGCCACGCGATTGGGATCTGTTATCTTATTCCCTATAAATCCAGATCAGTTCAGGAGTTTCGGAGAAGACTACACTACATACTACTTTCGGATAGAGCTTTGAATACTAAATTTAGTTCCAGTTGGATTCGAAGTATCAAATTAAAACTGGATAGAT